TCTTCAAAGATCCGCTGTGCAACAGCGACTGAGTTGGATGATGTGTCACCATTTCTCCTCAAGCAATGTTTTGCTCCATTAGCACCGGTTTTTGCACATCTTACTGACATGTCTTTCATGGGATTGAAGATACTTGATGCTTTGTATACTAACAGGATCATTATCATCTTTATGAGTCCAATGAGTTTGATACTAAATCCTTCCATTTTATGTTATGCCCATCCGTACTTCTGAAGCTCGCTTAATGAGTTGCCCTAGATATTATTATGAAATTTTTCTCCATTTCCTCGGACGCTCTACATGGACGCTGTTGTTCTTGTGATTCACTTGGCTTTAAAAGAGCTAGACAACGTTTTTCTTGTTCATGCATGTGCATTAACTGATTCCTCCTCGGCTTTCAGTATCGTTCCGCGCCACCAGATCCTTATGGAAACCTCTAAATGCAGCTCTCTAGGCCGGATTTTTTTCTTGGTTTAAACATCAATCTGCCTTCTGCACTGAGTTCGTCCGGTCTGGTCGACGGACATCTGCTCTTCTACCTGATAGTCGCGGCACCCTTCAAAGTTCCATCTTGTTTCCCACGCTGTTTTTCACTTTTACACTTGTGAGCGGAGATCTTTCGACGACTGCTGACGAAATGATTGTCAGTTACCCTATCAAATCTGGACTCATCTCCAAGTTCTGAAGGATGGTTTAAATCATGTCTCTGTATGGTCGTTTAAAGATGGTTTTCTACTTAATAATCAGGAATCAGCCCATTGTGTGTTTTGATTATGACCATCTCCGGTTCCGGGATCTCTTGACATTCATTTCAACCAATTGTTTTCTTTTTGGCACCTTGGTGTTACTCTGTCCACAAATCTTTCATTTCCCTTTCATAATGAAATCCTCTTAGTCCAAATCGCACTCTTTTTTATCCCCGTTGTTTACGTTCCTGCCACCCACCTTAACCCCCTTATCTGGATATTTATGGATGCTTTCACTCTCCCTTTAATTATTTTTTGTTGTCCAGTTACCTTTCCAGCCACGTTCATTTTTAAACATGTCATTCGAATACTCTCTTCTGCTGGGGGTGTTTATTATGTCTTTTAGTAGATATCTTAATACAGCGAATTCTGGGTGTTGCCCATCCCCCTCACCCCTAATTAGTAGCTGCGAAATCTTTCCTCCCCATGCGCCGTGTCTTCCGGCATATCTCTCGCCGTACGTCGGCATAACAGAGTCCTGTATTATCATTTCCGGCATGATACCCTACGTGTGAGGAGACCGAGATACAAACAGTGAGACTCGAAATGTCCTCGTGATAGTTGTACAGTTGTTATGCAAATCCATTAACTCTCTCTCCCGTCGTATAATAATTTGTATTCTGGCCGCGTGAATGAGGGACGTCCTCGCTTAAGATTTTGAATGTCATTTTAAAAACAAGATGCATTCCCCTTTCTCTCTCTCTCTCTTTCTTTCTCTCGCTACGTCCTCTTGGCAGATGTCCAGATCAGTAACAGTAGTATGAGAGTGGAGTGCATTGACCTATCCTGACCAAAAAGGGAACGGGTGTCTTAGTTAAACATGCAGCATCTAGTCTGGAGGCCATGTGGCCGTGGATTTCGGTGTAGTTCGGCATATCAACCGTCCGTACTGCCGTATCCGGCACGGCATTTTGCGTGTTAAGTGACTGAAATTCAGAAACCGAGACTTTAACTGTCCACATAGTAAGTAGTGTATTCCCTTGCCGTTTATTAATTCGTACTCCGGCGACTAAACACAGTATATTTCTGTTAAAAATTTTGGAATGATACTTTCAAAATAAGGCGTATTTCTTTTTTTATCCTCCTTCTCTCAAAACCACACGTTCAGAATGAGCCCTTTATGATAACCCCCTTCCTGAGAGGATCTAGGTGCCCACTCAGGTGGCAGCCTCCCAGATTACGACTTTGTATGCCGCCTAATAATGTCAGAACGCTTTCTATTTACTGTGGTGCGAATGAGTTGATGTGCCCTAGGTATGGATTTCCCAGGATCCGCCTCGTTTTCTCTCTCCCCCTTCCCATACAATGGTTTATTGTCTGAGCCGGTCAGCATCTGATGCTGAGATTGGCTACTGTAGCCGGCTCGACGTGAAGCCTAGCCTAGGCGCTTGTTATGGGGTCGCATTGGCTCTTCGTGGCCGAGCATGTTCATCTACAGCTCAGCCCATCGACCAAATCTGCGTTTTATCTCCTTCATTTGGTGCGCAGTTTTCTCCAGAGTTTTTGCGTATTATAAAGTTTAATAGGCAAAGCTTTCGGGAATCTTGGTTTGTATGTGGATTGCCCATGGGTATCTGCGTATGGATTCCGGATGAATTATCATGACAACGGTTCTGCTCGCATATGTATGTAACCCTGTTACTGAACATATTCTTGTGTGGATTTATTGTGATGTACAGTTGGCGATAAGAGTGAGAGGGAAAACAAGGGGAAAGCGAGATCTTTCAAGTGATTCTTGAACAGTTGCATCATAGTTCCCTCTAAAACTGATTCCAGGAGACCATTCCGGTTTTCTGTTACTCGTTGTTCGAAAACTTCAGACCGCAGGTTCAGTCTAGGCGTATTCATGCGCAAGGGTGAAAGCCTCATTTCCTTAATAATAAACTGACTTATTTTTTAGAAGTGAGAGACTCCACTGAAGCATGACTTCAAACCTGAGTCCTTGTTGAACGTCATGTATGTTCCTGTGAACCAGAAGTTTAATCCATTGTTGGCTGTTACACGGAGGGAATTAGTAAAATCACCTTAGTCGCCGTGGACAAGGCTGGCTTTTTAACATTTCCACGAGACTCGTAACCTGACATTGCTCTAGGTCTAGGCTCATTCGTACTTTGAGAGCCATGGCCTCCATTCCCGCAGGTCGTGTTTTATATGAGGACGAAAGAAGGTGCTGGGCGCTTTCTAAGAGTGTTTTTACCGGGAGCCATAAAGTCCTCTTGATAGCGTGTAGTATTTCCTTGTCGTTTATCGCAGCCAATGAGCATTACAACAGTCATTTGAAATTGCCTTGTATTCAACACGAATCTTCGCTTGTAAAGATATCATAGGAAGTTAAGTGGCTTTCATGCGGACGTCAGCATAGTAGGTGGATGGACGCAGATAAAGGGACGACGAATTTCCACACATTAAATTCAAGCTGCCATCGATCAGACCATGTTCTCAGTCCGTGCAGATTATTTTGAAGGGCCGCCTGGTCACCTGAGCTCCGAATGATATGTCAGAGCTTAAAGTCTTTGGAAAACATGACCATGCTTTATTTGAGCCTGTGGGGACCGTCATTAGCATAGTGAATCAAATGTAATGGCTCGAGAACTGGGCCCTGAGAAAATAACTAGTAGCATTAATCCAATCAGATCAATCTTTGCCGACATAGACATGCAGTTTTAGGTCAACCAGGAATGCTCATATCCATTTCCGAAGTTTTGCCCTGGTGCAAATGTGCCCGATTTATGCAAAAGTCTTGGTGTGGGACACTGTTGAGGGCTTTGTGGAAGCGGACATATGTTACACCTGCTTCGAAGTCCTCCCCTAGTTCTTTAGCCCAGACCTCCATTTCATTGTGGAGGCATGAGAGTCAGGGAAGCTTTCGTCAAAAAACATGTGGGAAGTGCTGAGATGTGTTATTTTTATCTCAAACTTGCACTTTTGTGTGGTTTGTAAGGACTTCCGTTATCTTAAAAGTAAGTTACGACAATCTCACTAGCCTAAATCTACTAGCAAGCATCCAGTAGCCCACTTTATATAAGCGAGCTGCATTGGCTGATTTCCGCTCCGAGGACAAGCCATCTATTCTCATTAGCCACTCGAAAATAAATGAAATAAATATCGCTGGTTTTGCGGATAATTCTTTAAGTGTCAGCTCAGGTACTCCATCCATTCTAAGAGACTTTTATGGTTTAAATTGACTGAAGATCTGCCCTACGTTGTTGACAGGAGAGGCAGTAGTTTCAATGACTTTAGTGTTTTTCCATTTCAGACTCTGAATTATCATTGGGAGGCTTCCATCGTGCATAGCGAATAAAAAATTGGAAGAGAAGTTGTGAATTATGTGATCCGTGAGGCAATGCGTTTCCGATGTTATCCTTGAAGCACGCAATCTCATTCCTATTCTTTCTCCTAACAAAGCTGTATCCGTAATAGTTATTTAGGCATGGAGTGGCTTCTACCGTCCGTCACCGCTTAAATGAATCCCAACTAGTCACATTTTTCTTGCGGAATTCCATACGTTGCTTTATATATCCAGGAAGTGGTATAATATTCTAAAGAGGTGAGTGTTCCTTCCACATACTTTGTTTCTTCCGTAGGCTCCTTTTCTTTGCAGCGTTGACATACGGAGGTCAAGAGCAAATAACTTTAATTTGGTGCTCTCTTTATCCTGAAGATATAGCCAGGAATTTCCGAAAAATCTTTTGCCAAATGACTAGGTTTCATCCGAAGTAGCACGCCCCGTTGCGTCTTAATCGGCCTTCTAGATAGTTCTTCCCCTCTTGATTTGCGGTCGTGGGAAGAGCGAGGGAGCACGAACGTGATTTGGGATTCTGCGTATTTCCTATATATTGCTCGCGGTCGAACAGAGTGTTTGCTTTCGTCGTAGCACATCTTCCAAATGACGACAAAAATATCAGGCTTTCGAAATCCATTGCAAAAGCCAACTGTAATTCTCGCTTTCGGAATTTGGGTTTGGTTGTCAGCTTTCTTTGAGCACTTGCAGAAAGCCTACGTAGACCACCACACTGACGACAACAAAGCTGCTTTCTACCGCAGTTGCCGCCACCTTCAGCAACGACTGCGCGAGATGCAGGATGCCTGGACTGCTCGCAAAGCTGAGGAGATCTAAGGCTACGCGAACAGCAACGAATGGAAGAACTTCTCTGTAATCAAAGCTGTCTACGGTCCGCCGACCAAGGGCACCGCTCCTCTCCTCAGCGCCGACGGTAGTACCCTCCTGACTGATAAGACACAAATCCTACAGCGATGGGCCGAGTATTTCCGAGGCGTCCTCAACCGCCCCTCCCCCATCTCCGACGCCGCCATCACTCGTTTGCCGCAAGTGGAGACCAACGTGGATCTCGACCTCCGCCATCTCTCAAGGAAACCATCAGGGCTGTGCAGCAGCTCTCCAGTGGGGAAGCACCCGGATCGGGCGCGATCCCCGCTGAGGTCTACAAGCACGGTGGTCCCAAACCGATGGATCACCTGATTGCACTCCTCCAGGAGATGTGGCGTCAAGGTGATGCCCCGTTTGCATCTATACAGGCGAGAAGGGCACCGCCAAGTCCGCGACAATCACCGCGGCATCTCCCTGCCGAACATCTTCGGGAAGATTTTCGCTCGCATCCTCCTCAACCGCCTGAATAATCATCTAGAAGGAGGTCTCCTACCGGAAAGCCACTGCGGCTTCCACCGTCATCGCGGGACCACGGATATGATCTTCGCCAAACGTCAACTTCAGGAGAAGTGCCAGGAGATGCGGACTCAACTGTACTCTACCTTCGTGAACCTGACGAAAGCCTTCGACACGGTGAATCGTGCAGGACTGTGGAAGATTATGCAGAAATTCGGCTGTCCGGAGCGATTCATTCAGATGGTGCGCCAACTGCACGACGGTATGATGGCGCTAGTCACGGACAACGGAGCTGTCTCAGAGGCATTCACGGTGACCAAGGGAGTGAAGCAGGGATGCGTGCTGGCGCCTACTTCCTTCAGTCTTATGTTCTCTGCCATGCTGATGGACGCCTACCTCGACGAATGCCCCGGGATCCACATCGCCTACTGGACGGACGGTCACCTGTTGAATCAGCGGCGGATGCACTTACAATCTCGCGTATCCACAACTACCGTTCACGAACTTCTCTTCGCCGACAACTGCGCCCTGAACACCACCTCGGAAGAGGAGATGCAATGGAGCATGGACCTGTTCTCCGCCGCCTGCGAGAACTTCGGTCTGGTCATCAACACGCAGAAGACGGTGGTCATGCATCAACCGCCACCTGACACAGCCGCTTCCCCCAACGCGCCGTCGCCGCAAATCAGCGTGAACGGAACCCGGCTGCAAGTGGTGGAGAACTTCCCGTACCTGGTCAGCACCCTCTCCCGTAGCACCAAAATCGATGACGAAGAGGCCCGCTGGATTTCGAATGCCAGTGAAGCCTTCGGTCGCCTCCAAAACACAGTTTGGAATCGTCATGATCTCCAACTCAGCACGAAGCTGAAGATGTACGTGGCCGTCATCCTGCCGATCCTGCTGTACGGAGCGGAGACTCGGACAGTGTACACGGGGCAGGCACGCCGTCTGAACCACTTCCACCTCAGCTGTCTTCGTCGCATCCTGAGGCTCAGCTGGCAGGATCGAATCCTCGACACTGATGTACTGGAACAAACGGGAATCCTCAGCGTCTACACCATACTGAGACAAATGCATATGCGTTGGAGCGGCCACCTGGTGCGCATGGACGACGAACGACTACCCAAACGACTCTTTTACGGAGACGTCGCCACGGGCTCTCGTCGCCAAGGAGGCCAAATTCATCGATACAAGGACACTCTGAAGTCCTCTTTGAAGCGTCTATAAATTAACCCGACCACTTGGGAAGACATCGAGCACAACTGAGCGACCTGGAGGAGGACAGTGAAGACAGGCGCTGCGATCAATGAGGCCAACCGCATCGCCGCTGCTAAAGTGAAACGCGAAGCGCGCAAATCATAGATGTGCCCAGTCCGCAACGCTGACGCACAACCACTTCCAACGTGTTCTCAATGTCAACGGACATTCCAGGCACGAATTGGACTTATTGGACACTTTCGGACCAACTCCACCTCTCGGAACGCCTAAACAGCCGTCCCTCCGCCTGCGTCTCCCTCGTCCTCTCTGCCGCCACCTAACTCTGACTACTCTTCTGTACCACCACTTCCATCCTCCTCCTCCTCCTCCTCCCATCCTTTCTCCTCTTCCTCATCCTCCTCCCCCTCTTCCTCCTCCACTGCCCTCACGACGGCCGCTCTGGCGTCTGTCGCGCACAACAACACAACACACGCCCCTGACACAACAACAGACATCACCTCTGCAACTTCCGACTCCAGAAGTGAGGACCAGGACTACACCTGCCCTCACTGCGACCGCACCTTCCCCTCACACATCGGCCTGGTCGGTCAATTGCGAATCCATCGCACAGAGACTGGCGAACCAGTGCGTGAAGCACCAACCTACACCCACCGCACTCGCCTCCACTGACCACACTGTCCTCGCACTGTCACGCATCGCATGGGTCTCTTCAGCCACATGCGCATCCACGAACAACAGCGGTAGACAATCGCCGGCTGCATCATACTCTCCCTCTCTCACCACCATCAACACCACCCTACCTCATATCAGCACTCACCCACCACAAACGCCCACGCAAGTGGAAAGTGTAAATCTCGACTTGGCCCCATGCGGCTTCGGCTGCACGGGCGACTCAAGTCTGAGACGTGGAGACGGGCTGAAACAGCACCTTCCACGGCCCTCTCGCGAAAATGAGAGACATGCCGTTCAACCCCCCTTGAGTGAAATCCTGCTGTGTGTGTGTGTCTGGGGGGCCAGGTCGTGCATGTGGCGCACGCAGGCATGGTCAGTCGACCATTCCAGCCACCGCGCCCATTCCCCACTCCAGTCTGCTGACCGGCTCGGACAGCGGCTGGGATGTGGGGATGGGAAGGGAGAGTGAGGTTGACGACTCAGCGCGTTTCTCCTAGCTATAAGCAATTCGACGCTCTTGAAGCTATCATGGTGCGCTAAAAGCCGTGGCTTGGAAGGTTGCCAACTGACGGGATAACCTGGACCTCCTCGACTGGAGGTCCGAGAGCCAGACTGCCATGGCTCCTTCTTAATGTGGCCTTTATGGCACTCCCACCACAGTGTGGGATCCGAGCCAGGCGTCGGCGGCACGCCTAGGTGCGGCTGCTTCGGCCGTGCCAGCCTCCAATCTCTGTTGTGTTGGTCAAAATCTTAGTCATTTGTTGTGTGGACCAGGGAATGCGGAATGGAGCGCCAAGGTGACGATCCGTCCAAGCCATCCACCTGAGGCCTCCCTCGTCTCCGGTCTTCTTGACTCTGTCTTGACACGGGGCTCAGGCGGGGGAGGAAGAGAGAGTGAAGGTAGATGCAGCGCAAGTCTACTGGCACTATAAACCCTTGTGCAAGTCACCGTCCCTGCTCCTACCCTGCTGAGGGGCACACGGTGGACATCATCGAAATCGATGGTCGAACTACCGTCTTCCGTGTCTTCAGCTGTCACAGAATGTTGTAATCAGCGAAGTTCTTACTTTCTCTAAGTTTCTTCTGATTGCTCAGTAGTTTGTAGTCCCTCCATAGAATCTCCGGACAGTTTTAACCTGATGTGTCCGATGGGCACTGCTAGTATACCTGTGAGAAGAGTAAGGTCCTTCCATAAGAGTTTAAATCGCATAATGAGATCAAGATATCTATCACGTAAATCATGCACAATCTTAGTTGTTCCCTTCCTTTTAAGATTTTGAGAAGTGATGGAAGACCAAATTGTGGTCGGTAACCTGGATTCTGCCATTTGGCTTTAATAGCCGCTGTAATATGTACGGTAGATACTTTTTCAGGATATTTAATGGCTTGCATAATTCTACGGAGTTATATTCTTTAGAGTATGTTGTGGTTGCTGGACAACCACGCCATAGCCTACTAGTCGAGTCGGCTTGCCGCTCGTCCTGTGGAACTGGGGCCCGGATATCCAATACGCTTGTCGACGCACTTCTCTTTTCTACCTCAGGCTTGGAACGAATAAGCCTAAGTTACACATGTTTCTAATAGTTGGGGGAAACTGCATTGATTTATAAGTCTGCAATTCTGCAATGCAAAGTTTTTATGTACAAATAAATGGAGCGGCAACCGAACTACCTGCCCAATGAAATCCCACTTAGCATCTTGATAAGTCTTAAATAACGACTCAGTCTTAATTGAAACGTTTACTACCACTTTTAATATCCGATTAGCAAAGTATAGCGCTGACCTGAATTTTTCAATCAGCTAAACAATTAAGCTTGTCCTTTCAACGGACGTAGCCCCAAAAGGGTGGTAGAATACTCAGTACACGAATAAGTTTGATGTAAAAATCCTAAAAAATAATTTCAGAAGAGATGCGATATGTATCCGAGCAGAGACTTTGTGACAGGGTATCATGAACGAAACAGAAGGACAGGACTTCAATGGGAAAAATACCAAAGGATGCAGGATTGGAAGATGGTCTCAGCTCAGTATAGTGCAATTTATTTAAGGGAAATAGGCTATGATTCTGAAGATCCTGTTGAGAGCGGTGCATGCAATAACCAGCGTCAAATAAGCATTTTACTGAAATTTTGTCGGAAACATGCGCCTATTGCAGAATATTGTCCTTGAGATTGTGGGAGTGAAACCCAGGAACACTCAGTTTTAGATGATAATGATAAAGTGAAATAACAATCATCCGCATTAGCGGCAGGTGCATGCAAAAGGTTGGCTTGGTATAACAGAGCTGTCCTATCCAGTTAAGCGGTATTTGACAGTCAAATATAGATCTAGTCTTTTTTTAAATGTCCCTGTGGCGTGCGACATTATCACTTTCTCGGGAGGCCCTTTCCAGGCTCCTACAACTCGCTGTAAAAACGAGCATCTGCGAACATTCAAGGTATATCGGGCTCCTCGAAGTTTGAGGGAGTACCCACGCAGGATTGTTGTCGTGGTAAAGGTGAAGAAATTGTCGAAGTGCAGGGCACAGTCCAGATTTTTGACAATCCGGCAGGTCTGTATGATATCTCCTAGGATTCGCTTTTACACAAGAAGAAACAGGTCCAGCTCATCAAGTCTGCAGCTGCAAGGTAAAGTCTTTAGGCTTTTCACAATGCTAAGCATTTCATGTACATGTAGGATGCTGTATGAAAGGACATTCCACGGTCATAAATAATCATATAATTGGAAACTTTATTAAAACCGAAAGATACCCCTTCTTCTAGTATAAAGTGTAAAGATAACGTGAATCAGTGCCAAGCCAATAAAAGAAAGTATATTTTGTGTTTGTTTTCCATAAAATATATTTAAATTTATTGGACCATAGAATATCACTCTTAATAATGCATTCTACTTAAGTAGCCATTTCTTGTCGTGTTCACTTATCGCAGGTTGAAAAGAAGGGCATTCAAAAGCCGACATCCTGGCAAAACCGAACTATTAAAGGATCATGCCGCATGATAATCAGTAGTATCACCCCCACTTAAGTAATCCTTTTTCTAATCGAAAATGTATTTCTGAATTTCGGTCAACATTTCATGAGATCGGCCATTCACTGTAGTCGATGCTTTAGACGACATTCAATAAAGTGATTCAGAAGTTACACTAGCAACGTAAATCAGAACTAAGGGGGAAGTTTGGGGACACCATCAATTTCAGCAGCTGTTGGACCGGTAAAAGCTTAACTGTACTTGTTGAGGAAACCGGAACCCAATTAAATAAATAAATAAATAAATTTTTTATTTAATGCCAGTTTACAGGCATTGTCAAGGGAATCGATTAAACACAAATCCGACCAGCAGTGAAAAGAAGTCCTGAGCTAAAGGGATAAAAATATAGTTGATGGGGGTTTTTATGGTTTGGAGGGCTCAGGAGAAAAAACTGCCGGCGGTGGTAGAATATCGACCGTCAAGAAGGGGGGAGGTTGCACAGTATCGGAGATTATCGGACGTCAAATTCCTTTCATGAAGTTGGGGATAGTCAAAGTAGAGGCGTTGAGGAACAGCTGGTGAGACCGGCCATAGTGTTCAGAGACCACAAACGCCATCGCTACGGTACAGTCGATCAGTAGATTCAGCACCCAAAATTTGTAGGAGCTTTTCTGAATGCAAAAATCGTGTAATAGTTCTCTTAAATAAAGGAGTTCTCTTAAATAAATGAGTTTTCACACTCATGGGTAGTTTATTCCAAATAGCAATTGCATTTACAGAAAAGAACCGACGATATTTAACAGTACGTGCCAGAGGCAGAAATAAGAAGACCTCACGGTGACTGTTACGTCGTGGGTGGATATGATGTCTTAAAGAGGTGAGCGGGTTAAATGTGTGATTATATAAGAGTTTAAATAGCAAAAATAGTCCCTTTTGTAATCTACGGAACCATAAAGGATCGAGGCCTGTAAGCCGGCAACGTTCTTGGTAAGACAAATGTCGGTGTTCCGGGGTTAAAATTCTCTTGGTAAAAAAGTGTTGAACGGATTCTATTTTCTTCCGCTCAGTAGCACGCATGAGGCTAAATGAAAACGAACGAAAATTAAAAACTTGTAATTGTTTGAGTATATGTCAGTGCTTTTCATCGGTAAAAGAGCCGATTTCTACTTCGGTCAAAAACGAGAAAAAATAGATCAATGTTAACAAGAACATACAAAAAAAGAAAAATGTTTGACGGCCAGAATCATTATTATAACATTTTTCGTATTTACTAGATCCATTTTTTTCCTCGCCCAGCCACGCCAGCTACTTCTTTAGCAGTATTTGCGATGACATCTATCTGTACTGAGTGCAGAAAAACTCCTAGAGGTTCTTAAACACAACAAGCAAAAATTCTTGAATTTAAGATGCTACAAAACATCTGAAACCTAAATATACAGCTGAAGGTTTGAGAATGTCAACATAATTTAAATTCCTTGACCCTCAGATCGTGGTAACCCAAAAATGAGCAATTCCGGAGAGCATATATAAAGCATAGGGTGAATCCTTGTATATATTTTCAGGTCTGAATCTAGGCAAACTGGACTCCTAGCAACGTTGTTTGATCTATTTTAAAATATCAGACTACGTGGTACGTCCATGGCGACGTTGGGTTCAGAGATATATGACAACAAGTCACCAGTAAACAATGACGAAGTTCCTATACAGAATATCCCCATCCGTAACACAGCTATAATGGTAGCAAACAGTGCCTTCAAATTGTTCAAACCTGAATAATTCCGAGCGCATGTAAACCCAGACCATAAAAATAAGAAACAATAAATCGAATCGGTCACCCAAGAAAGTAGAAACTTCAAGAAAACAGCGGATGTTTCCACAATCAAAATCAAACCAAGAATGAGGTCATAAGTCAGCACGATTTTCTGTCCGTTTACCGTCACTAGAAAAGAGTTTGAAAAGCCTGAGGTTGAAAAGAAAGAAGTCGATATGGGCGCCAAAACTCCTCAGCCGCGAAAGATTGTCTTATAGCTC